TTAATAAGAACTAATTAATGTTATATTGATGTTACAGTATTTCTCATATCTGCTAATTGACTTTGGAATCGTTTATCAGAGAATATTAATCGCTTTTAATCTCTTGGTTCTTATAAAACCTCAGAAGCCAGGTATTTAAATGAATTGAAAATAATAAATAATTTTGATACTAATAACAACAGTATTAGTAATGCAATCCTTGGCAGCTTTCGTACTTTAAAGGTGTTGACGTCAGGAGAAATCTCGTTCTCCGAAAAGATGAAAAAATATTTCCTATTTCAGGTGTGCATCTAAGCGAATCTAGCTAGGAAAAGTAAGTTCCCAGTCGTAAAAAAAAAATAAACAAAAATAAAATATTAATAGAATTAAAAAAATCGAGTTGTTCTTACTTATGGAATAATTTAATGATTCTCAGAAGTTTTCGTGACTGCGCTTTTTTCTCTGGTGTTCAACTCACGTCGAGCATAAACCTCTCACACCACCACTCTCGTTATTCTTGCACAACTTTGTCTCGATCTCATTAGTTTTTGCCAAACGAATCTGTATTGAGAGGATGTATATCAAAGCAAGGATACATGTGCCAATGTTTTTTGGTTGGAAAAAGCATAAATTTAGGCCATGCATGGGTTTTTCAAACTTCTATCAGAATTGGCTGAAATATAAACGACCTATAAAGCAAATTAAATTAATCTTCACCAGTTCCAGAAAATTGTATCACGACACGCCACTGACCTTTAAGTCTAACCAGTAGACCAAAATTTTGAGCTTTGTTATTTGGCATCGATTAACGAAGACCTGGTTACTACTTCACCACTGAAATTTACACCAACATCTGGGAGAAAACCAATAGACGCGCTAGGTGCCAGAAGTTACGCACAATAATTTTGATGATAACATTTCACCTGTCAGCGTCACGCGGAGCACAAACAAGCACGTGTACTTTTTAAAGAAGATGTGTCATAGCGGGTTTATTTTTCAAGTTTCGTCACAACTTTGTTCCCAGGGTTCTCTCCTATCTGTCCTCCTCGGGTGACCACTAAGAGAGAACCCTGGGAACGAAGTTGGTTTCGGCAATTTCAATCCGTTCTTGACCATTCTCGTTCCTTTTTCACTCTTATCCGTCCACGTTCAGTATTTCAGACCCTAAATCTCGCGCGGTCCTCGCACGCTCTCCCGCGATGACGCGCATTTTCTTTCCAGACTATATGTGGTTGGATTTGTGGAGTTAAGCCTTAACTGCGCTTAGCTTTGGTTGCATCAATATCCTGGATACTTCTGTTGACAACATTTTGGCACCAGCACGCTTTTGCAATGTCAATTTGCGTCATTAACAACAGTGAATATTGGCAAAAACCAGCCATGACCTAGGCCTTTCCTGAATCACCGGAACAAGTAATCCTTTCGATTCTATCATTCGGATACAACATGCACGTACGCACTGGCTCCATGACCTTGACGCCCACTTCCCTAGGAGGGGATGCATGGTATTGGTGTGGGTCTAACTGGATGGATCACTGAGAAACATTGTTCAAGGAATGGGATCGTGATAAGGAATCAGGAGGGCCCAAAAAATTTTGTTTGCCAGAGTTACATTGAAGTTAATTTTTTTTAAGTCAATTTGAAGACAAAAATGAAAAAAAAAAGAGGAAAGAAAAAGAAGAACGAAAAAATATTAAACTAAATATAATGGACTGGACTCGCAAAAGAAGTAATTCAGTTACCGGGATTAAAATTTTGATTACAGAGTTTCGCTGATCTTAAACTGTAACCTGGACATGAGAGAATGAAACAGGCCCTTGCTTAGAATTGAGCCTAATCGCGGGAAAATTCCCCTCTTGAAGAAATCTTTAATCTCGAACTTTGAAGAAAAAAACTTTAAAAAGTTTGAATCTTCGGGAGTATAGAATAAAGGATCATGTTTAGTGTACGGTTTTCTGTCGATTGTGCATTTGAATCAGACGGTAATTTGAAATATATATCTAGAAAAGCAAAGGGAAATTTTTTTCCATTTACCAGCGTGTTCGCATTATCGAGTGCTCGAGTTCTCATTTACAGTAGATAAAATTACGGAAACCGCCGAGTAGATCTCTTGAGGAGGTTGATTTTGGTTTTGTTTCGAGTTGATGAAAGGTTCAAGTTAGCGAGAGTTGAAATCATTAGATGCCAACTGCCGGATGTAGCTAAGAGAAAGAAGAGAGAGGGTAAAATACATTTGTCCCATTTGGCATTACAAAACATTTGTAATTCCAAATCATATTAATTGAGACAATACCATCAGATCCCCTTATTGAAAAATGGGTTATTTCTTTATCGGAGTTCGTCCTAAGAATACCAAATAAGACTCGATGTTTACCAGAATGAAAACGACGCCATGGAAACTCAGCTAGAGGGAACATAACGACGATGATTTGCAAATGGCAAAAATAAGTTTAAAAGTGCAGCTGATAGGAAACCGTTTGTTCTTGTTTGAACTGCAAACATTACCACCACTGCCGCGGGAAAACAATATTGGGTTTCTCCGCAGCACCAGAAACATCTTTTAAATAATTAGCAAGAAAAACGCAGACAAATATTTGCGGCCTATAATCTTTAGTCAATAAAAGCGCTTAAGGCACTGCATCAGAACCCAAGTGGCAGCTATTTTAAAAACGTCTTTCTTTCGCAATAAATTCGCATCGCATCCCCTTTACGAACTCAAATGGAGAATTGTAGTTCGATGTTTACAATTAGTAGACATCTTGCAAGATCAATTGCAAGATGAGTGCATGTCAATAATCAAATGCAAATATACCATTGGATTTATGTGTCCCGACAAAACAATAAAGCATCTATTCATGCGCGACAGAGCAGCAGAAAAAAAGAAATATGTATTAATATGCGCAATCGCTAGTAAATCTACTTATAGTTTATTCTGTTTCTTCAGATGTCTGAATTCTACTTTAATCGCTTTGCATTTGAAAATTCTCATGATCAACAGATGATTTTCCATCGACTTACCTTTTCTATTAATTGGAGGATTCAAGCTTTCTTCTTCTCCTAACGACCGAGACCGTTGTCTGAGTAAGGGGTCCTTCGAGCGCGAACGAAACTCTGAAACGTGAATCAAAATTTCCCTTTGCAATGATCTGTGGCGAGGTCTTTCCATTGTTTACCTCTCTCTCATAAGTTTCCGCGTCTGATCAAAGTTACCTTCGTAACATCATAACGGAATACATTGTTGATGTTTTCAGCAGATCGTTTACTTCTGATCGAGTCAGAAAGGTCAGTTGTTTTTGTTTTGTTATTTTATGCCAGTGCATATATTAGACCAAGTGACGTTCTAATAAAAATATCGAGAAAAACAACAATGGAGATGCAGTCGTCTGCCTCCAAGCTCAGTGACGCCTCTTTATGGTTTTAAGACGTAGTCTCTTTTACCATAAAAATAATTGTGAACGTCCACATTAAAACCATTCAGAAACCGCTGTAGTATGTGAAGGAGTAAAAATACTGTCTGATTCTTCGCCGGTAGATTGAAGCAAGTTTAATCGACGATTCGGCGTCAACGATGGATTTTCTAACTTTAGAAAGGCAAATATGTTGAACTGTGAACAAACAAGTACATCACGAGTTTGCCTGCAACTGAAATTATAGCGTCGCTTAATTTCCTGTGCGTACAAATCAACCGGTTGAAACGCGCTACATGTAGAGTGTAACGTAAACTAATCACAAGTCTTGTATATCAATGTATTTCGATTTCTTGACCTCCTGCACTCGAGATCATACAGAGGAGTGTTAAGAGATTCCTTAGCTACGTATCGAATGACGTTGAATCCTATTAGCGTATTACTTAACAATTGCGCAAACACCGCACTTTAAATCACATTTAACGAATTTCCTTACGCTTTTCAATAATGTCATACAGCATCCAAAATATAAAAGGTTATTAAAAAAAAAAAAGAAAAAAAAAAAGGAAAAACGCAGCAAATGAAAGAACGTTTTTCTGATCTAGATTTTCGAGTGAATGAATGTAGGGCATTTAAATCCGGCGAAGCTCAGTATATATCAGTCTACATCGGAATACGAGATTCAAACTGCGATGAAGTGTAGATATACTTATATTTATTTAATGAATTTAAATGTAAATCGAAGAGTTTGACCGGATTTAAATGAAGATCACTTCAGCGGTTGATAAAATGTAACAAAAAAGTAGTCAGTGGATTATTTTTTTATTGTTATAGGGTGAGACTGTCGGTTGTAATTATTACGTTCAGTTGCTTCCATGGATACCACGATCTCAATGTTTCTGAAATTCATATAAAAAAATTGAAAGGAAACGCGGTTTGTTTTTAATCAAAGTGGATTTACGCAAACCAGGCCCCCCAGGAACGTGTTCTCATTTAGTCAAAGGTCCAATGTGTAAGTGGTTTAGTCACTTTTCTTAAAGGTAACTAAATATTTTCTTTTTTTCTTCGCAACTACGTTGAAAGCTAACTAGGGTCATTTTTAGCTATGCCTTTATTGGAATTTTTTCAATCGTTCTTATTTTCTACCTTGCAGTGTTTAAAAAACACCCTCAGCAAATTTCTATGGATCGAAGTCCAGGTTCTCTTGGCGATAAAGAAAAGGATTCATAAGGCGAAATTTATCGGATGCTTTTCCCTTTTTAGGGACTTTTAGAGCTCTTTCGTACGTGTAAGATCTCGGGCTGATATTCGGCCGATTCAAGCTCAATATCTTTTTACTTAGGAATAAAGATTCATCTTTTAGCGAAGTTACTTATTCGCGGACAAAAAGGATTGTTTCCTTTCTACAAATATTGTTTTTTGTTATAGAAAATGCGTTTGTTTCGACACCATGGTTTTGTGATAATATGAAATAAATCTGAAACTGAATCATTATTATGCATACATTTTTCTTTTCTTATATATGTATATTTTTTTTTATTAAAAACTGGATCATTGGATAATGCAATTCAAGACTTTTTATTGGCTTAGCCATTATGGTATATCAGCCAATATACCATAATCTACAAATATGGTAAGCGTACGCGTCAGCTTAAGATCAAAAGGGAGCTAAAAAATCCAGTTTCTTCTTACAAAATAATAATTTCTTGGGGGCGTTTTTAATAAAACAATTATTCCACTCGCGCTTGTTGGATATGAGATGATTATAGCCAACTCGGCGCTACGCGCCTCGTTGGCTATCTATCATCTCATATCCAACGCGCGCTCGTGGAATAATTGTTAA